AGGAAGATGCAGCTGTTGAAATTCATATTTGTTCTTGTATGTATTCAAATCAGAACAGATCACATTAAGCCAGAAAAAGTACCTACTGTTCTCACAGGCTGCTGTTTCAAGGTCGGGATTTGAAGCCACACTTGAGGTCAAATTAGTGACTTTTTAGTGGGATTGTAATTCAAATATTTTACAAAATTTGTCGAGGAACTTTGGTGTGACTGAACAGTGCTGTTTGCACAGAACAGGCTTGAATTTGTCTCCCTCATTCTGTCTCACACACTCTCTTGACTCAGTAGGTATGTAAGTAGATAAATCTTGTTGCCTGCGGCATTTTCAATTTCCCAGTGGGAAGTGGTGGCGGTTTGGAAAGGATGTTGGAACGCTTAAGGAACAGCGTGGAGAAGCCCCGGAGATAATGCTTTAGCCACACTGGGACAAAACGACTGACTGCTTTACTTACCGACTGACTGCAGAGAGACACATGGATAGAAAATAGTTACTGAGAAATCAAGGTGATCAGAATCTAGAGAGAGATGCAAGAAGAGACTTATGGTCTTAGACGGGCAAGCAAATGACTCCGTGGCCTGCCAGGAGTTTCCATTCAGCCTCTGAATCGTCTTTCTTGTCTTTTCTCTCACCAGTTAGACTTTCATACCTCTCCCTTGTGTTTTAAAAATCTGATGTTGATGTTTTCAAAATGTTTTGTCCTGATTTTGTGTGTACTGTCAGAGTCCAAGTAAACTGGTATAAATGCAGTTTGGTCCACAGGTTTTTGGACAGTTTATCTGTATTTTTGCCTCTCTACACCAACACAGTGGATTTTAAAAATCAATATGTGACTGAAGTGTGAACTGCATTTATTCATAGTCCCAAATATTCAGTGGATCAAAATAATTGGACAATTGAGTGATAAACAAATTTAGGAGATAAAGAATATGGAGTTGATTCCAAATGTTGAGTTTTAGTAGCTGTTAACTGGATACCTGAGGTCCAAGGTGTTGTCAGTGCAAGTGAAGGAGGCAATCATTACGCACATACTTTAGGAGTGGTCAGGTCTACAACCTGGTTCAGTCTTGAAAAGAAGTAATAGATTAGACACAAGAGACACCTTTATGAATGGAAATAACAGAGGGTTTTCAATAAGGTGCAAACCATTGATTCCACTCAAGAACAGGGAGGTCAAAAAACATCTAAAAGAGCCTGCACAGTGCTTTAAAAAACCCTCTGTGAACAGATGAAACCAAGATTAACTTGCACTAGAATGATGGAAATAGAGAAATATTGAGAAGAAGAGAAGCAGTTCATGGTCTGAAGCATACCACACCATCTGCCAAACATAGTGGAGGAAGCGTAATGGATGACGGGGGCATGTATGGTTGCCAGTGGAACTGGGTTACTGGTGTTTATAGATTAAGCAACTGCAGATAGAAGTAGCAGCATGAACTCTGAGGTGTACAGGGCTGTGCTGTCTGCTCAGCTTCTGCGTAATGCTGCAAGACAGGTTGGACAGCAAATGGATAATGACCCGAAGGATAATGCAGACATTAACTAACAATAATATTCTTCAATGGCCAAGTCAGTCACCTGATCTTAGTTCAGCTGAGCATGCTTTTTACTTACTTGATTCATTGAATTGAATTTCAGTTCAGGTTTATTTATATAGCACCAAAGCACAATAACAGTTGTCCCAGTACACGTTTACTGTCAGGTGAAAACTCTGTTGGAGTTAGGGAGATAACTAGGCAACGGAGGGAAAGAAAAACTCCTTTTTAACAGGAAAAAAATGACCAGTTGCGCAGTGAGGGAAAGCGAGCTGAAAAAAGAGAGCGTAGGGAGGCAGGACTGAAGACAGACCTGCAGATTTTAAAAGCACAGACTGCAAAAATAAGGTCTCCATCTATGTATTAACTACTATAAAACTATTCTCTTATTTTTTATTATGCCAGTTTGTCCAATTACTTTTGAGCTTTTCAAAATGGGTATATATATATATATATATATATATAAAATAAATAAAAGTGACTGTAATTTCTGTAATTTCTAAACAGTGTGTTTTCCTTTTTCAGGCTTGTCCAGAAATCTGGAGACAGTATCACCTGACAGTGAGTATCTTTTCACAGAACAACTCTGTATCATAGCAGTATTCTTCACACTCCTTCCATTTCTCCAGTTTATATGTCTTCCCTTTTGTTATTAGTTCTTTTTTTGTGAAAGGAGGCTAACACTGTATCAGGTTCAGTCCTGAAAAATGAAAAAGGTCCCGCTTCTTTTTAGAAATGATGCCAAAGTCGAACAGACTGTGTGCAGGAGAAAGGAGAAAAGTGTAGGTCAAGTATAGCTTTTAGATCAAGGGTTCAGTTGGTGTTCAGTAGTTTCCTCTGCTCGCACTCGAATCTTGATGTAATGTAATGTGTAATGTGTATGTGTTAGTCCCCATAGGGAAATTGCTCCTCTGCATTTAACCCATTCACCCAGTGAAGCAGTGGGCAGCCGCCAATGCAGCGCCCGGGGAGCAGTGTGTAGGGACGGTACCTTGCTCAGGGGTACCTCAGGGTAACCGTTCAGTGGAGTCGAACCCCCGACCTTCCGATCATGGGGCCACCACTCTACCTACTGAGCTATCCCTGCCCCATTCTGAGCTCATAGATAAAAGTTCGGAGATTTGGATTTTGCGTTTGTCTAATAGCTCTTTAAAAAAAGGGAAGCTGCTTTTCACTTGTGATATGAATTCATACAAATGACAGTAAAAGTGAAAACAGGAAATCATTAAACACCAAATGTGTTTTTGTTTTCTACAGAATCTTTCACCAAATATGTCTTAGTTTAGGTTTGAATTTTTTCTTCAGTGAGTACAAGTGGAAACTTTTGTAAATGTGCATATTTGATTCATTACTTTACTGAAAATATTAAATATGTAGCTAATGGTACAAACAATTTTTGTATTATTATATTCATGATAAATTATTTAGCAAAACAAAGGAGGTAAAAGGAGGTGACCTGAGAACAGCAAAACGAGTGGTTTTAAGTGGAAAGTCCCAAAATTGATTAAGCTTGGGAATTTGTGAAAAGCACTCACTTTGTGTGGGTTTAGTTTGCACCACGTTTATGTAGGATTTCTGCTCAGAGTCTGAGTTAAAGCCAAGAAAGATAAAAAAAGAAAAATGATGGTAGTGAGGAGTGATAAAGCCAAATCTAAATAGACATCTTACCTTCTGAAATTTGTCTTAAGAAAATACATAAAGCAACATTGTAGTGGAACATATCAATTAATAGCTCATTAAAAAGTATTTTTCAGTGGAAAATACTAACAAAAGTAAATGTACTGAATTGTAAAACTTTGCACTAGCACTAAGCCGGAGTCTCACCACTGCTGAATTAGAGTAATTGATCTTCTTGTTACATTTATTTTTGAATCGTCAATCAACGAGGTGTTTCCATGAGTTTCATAGAGGCAAAGGTGTCATGTGATTAGTCAATAAGTCAGTTGTGACTGGTATTGACTTTGCCCTGTAGCAGGTAAGTGAAGCGTGGGGGTAAGAAATATAGTAAAATATTAAAGAAGTAGTAAAAGTTATGGGAAACTTGTCCTCCTTCTTTTCTTTCATCAAGTGCTCATGTGACATTAGTGTGTGTGTGTCTGTGTGAAACAGAAACAATGTGTCAAAGAGTAGAAAACTGTTTGACAGTCACATGGGCCATATGTCAGTGGGGAGGCATTTGCTTATTTATATCTGTGTGTTTGTGTGTGTTTATCCAAAATCTCAAAAGATAACTAGTTTTCTTGGCTTCTTACTTCGTGTGTGTGTGTGTGTGTGTCTGTATGTTTGTGTGTGTGTGTGCATCTGAGCGAGGGGGTGATATAGACCTCAGCCTAAGAGAAAAGAGCAGCTTGTTTGTCAATTAAAAGACGTGATAAAGCATGAAATGGGCTGCCAACACCACGTGGGACGAGGGAGTGAGAGAGGGGGAAGAAGAGTGTGTGTTTGCATATATCTTGGCATGCACTGTGTGTGTGTTAGGGGAGGTCTGTCACTCTCCTCTATGGAGATTAATTAGCAGGGGCTGTCTAATGAAAAGGCAGCATCGTTAGCGCTAGGGTAGCACGGCGGGAGAGATGGAAAGAGGAGGAGGAGGAAGAGGGAGGAGGGAGCGGGACAGAGAAGTTCCAGGGGAGACGCTGGCAGAGAAGATGGGAGTTGAGTTTAATTGTTGCTCCTGTGTTTGGCGGATGAGCCTCTATGATTTACAGCGGAGTTTCACTTTGAACCACAGACGAAACGAGAACATGCTGACGAAAGTCTCCGGTCGCCTTGCGGGATGATGAAACCATTTTGTTTTTTTGTTCCCCGCTGCACTTCCGCATGTGCGTTTGTGTGTTTGTGTGTGCAATGGTGTGCTTTAACGGGTGGAGGATTGTGACCCAGGTCTAATTGAAGTATTTAAGCCATTTAAGCACTGGGAGCAGAAGGTCTTTACAGATCCAAACTGGCATGGGGGTTAGGGGCCTGCGCAGACACAAACACAGTCTCACACATACAAACACACCCACACACATGCATACACAGAGCTCCTTCTGTTTAAGACAGCCTCATTTTATTCATGATGCTGCTTATGACCCTGAACTCCCCAATGTGAGAAGGTGTGTGTGCGTGTGTGTGTGTGTGTGTGTGTGTGTGTGTTTGTGTGTGTGTGTGTGTGTGTGTGTGTGTGTGTGTGTGTGTGTGTGTGTGTGTGTGTGTGTGTATGTGTATGTTTGTGTGTTCGCTTTGGGAGATGTGACTCTGTCACCTTCCGCTGGGCTCAGCCAGGTGTGAAAAGGCATTCTGTCAGACCTCCCTGCTACTGGGTCCATTTATCCTTCGCTGTGTGTGCGTGCGTGCTTGTGTGTGTGTGTTCGGTCCGTTTATCTTCCATGAGTGTATCTGTTGTCTGCCTGCACCTGGCCCTCAACTAACAAACTCCTCCAAACCACACAGTATAGACCACAAAGCCCTGGGGTATTTACCGAGAAAGTACGATACTGACACACATGGACACACACAAACACACACACTCCTACAAATATATAGAGCAACAAATGGGGTAAAAAGATATCCACAACATTTTCATTGTGTCTGTGTCATACAGATTTGAGCACTTTTTTTTAACACAACTGTAGCACTTGTAGAAAATGTAACTGTTTCTTTTTTATAGAACGGAGTTTACTTCGGCTGTTCAGTCTCTTTCTTTTTCACTCTCCTACACAAACACCACTTCACCCACCCACTCACAGACGCCCTGTTTTTTTCTTCTCCTCCTTTCTTTTCCATTGAAGCTTACAGTGTGGGGTCACTCCTTTTCCTGCAGACCCATGTCACTACCCCCATGTATGTTATTATGTTCTTATGATTTCCACCTAATACTCTACATACTAAATATAACAAAAAACCTCCCAAAATACTGGTATTATCTGGCCGAGGTCGGCCGGTGCAAAGTTCTGCCATCAACATATGTTTTGTTTTCCAGAAGGCCCTGCCGCCATCATGACTTATTTGAACTCTTCTTTCGGTCTGTTGGTCATATGATTTCTGTTACGTGGGCATGCCTACAACTACACCTGCACTCAAGTTGCTACACAAATGACTTTTCATTTATACAAATTACCTTTGGCCACTTCTGCATTGAGGTCAGACTGTGGAAAGTGTGACTAATAATTATTTTCATTTATATTATTGATAAATCTCTGATTTTATAGATTAATAAATATTTTTGCCACTGGTGATATTTCAGATTTATAGTGTTTATATGATTGAAATAAAATAGAATGGCACACATTGGTGAATTATTACATATATACCACAGAATCTGCTTTAAACACCAGTTAAATATCTAATGGGCCAGTTGAACAGTCTTTTTGACAAGAGGCTAAAAGAACCATATTTCTATTTCATAGCTAACTACATGCAAGACAAAAAAGAGGAGGATGAGAGGACAGAGAAGGACAGGGTGGAAAGACTGAAGTCATGTAGGGAGCAGTAGGAAAGCACGATTAAGGGGGGGATGGATGGCTGGAGGGATGATTGGATGGGGAGCAAGGTTTAGTGACCTGCTATCTGTATTCTGGCTGCTTTAATTCATGTAAATATCATGCATAAATGTGTGCATGCATACACACAACAAACATACAACTCCCAGTCACTTTTTTTTCTTGCTGCCCAGACCCTGCTCTGTTGCATTAAGACCAGAGTGCCACCCTCTGGTAGAAAGTGAAGGCTCCCTTGCCTTTAACCAATGAGTGTATGTGAAGTGGGAATTATCTTTCTTTTAACTTTTGAGACTCTGAACGAGGGTTAAAGCTCACGCAAACTTGCTGAATGCTTGTTTTTTTTCTTTAATAGAGATCAAGTGTCTTTACTAAAGAAAAAGAAGAAGTAGTTTCAATGTGTTTCACCTTTATAGCAGAAATGTATGTATGAACAAGGGAGAGGGAGGAAGGCAGAGGCAGTTGGAGAGGGTGGGGGAGAGTTATTGGTAGAACTGCTGGAAGGCGGGTGGGGGTTAATGGTGAGTGCATTAAACGGTGAAAGAGACAAGAGAGTGAGCAGAGAGAGTGAATCAGTGCACCCAGCAGCTGATTGGTGCAGGTATATCGGTGTGTGAGCATTGATTGGCCTCTCTTTAGATAGTAATGGTGACACCTGTACATCGGTGTTTATTGATCAGTGTGTGCGTGTGTGTGTGTATGTGTGTGCTGAGCAGATCTTGTGATCGTGTCAGGGTGTGTGAATTGATCTTTTCCTGTGGGACAGGTGTGTAAATGTGTCGGGGTTGCCCGTGAAAAAGCGCTCCGTGACCTTCCTAGTCGACTCCAAAATGAAGCCGTTTTAACTCCCCCTCTCTTTCTCACCTGACTGCCTTTCTTTCCCCTTTCATTTAGCATGCTGTACCCTTTTATACATTTTTGTCTGTCCGTCTTTCTTCAGAAGGTATGCTCAGTTCACGCATGTCTTTGTTAGCGCAAGGTTAGGACATTTTGCCCCTTAAATCCTCTTATTTCTATAGGAAAAAATGTCTCGTTAAGACAGTCGACTTTTCCAAGGTACAAAATATTTCAGGAATCCTC